GGTTGACCTGAAGTGATGCTGTGACCGCGCGCTCTCCGCCCTATATCTCGAAAACGGTTCACCGTATAAAAAATTTTTTCAAACAAAATTTGTAGAGAATTTTGTATTCTACAATATTGATAATAAATACAAATAGCAAAAAACCCATAGGAAATGAGATATTTCCAAAAAAAGCGCAAAAAACCGATTTTTGTGACCTTTGACCTTGAAATTTAATAGTTGCGTACACCCTACCATATGTAGGTTTTGAGACAACTTTCAGGGTGTCAATATACAAGTATTTACAGACTTACAGCTGGGTATCTTGAATTCCTAGGTGAACTTACTATAATGACTGGACTACCATAGTAATTTCATAAACTATACCATACAATTTGATCTCCACAAACTTCATTTGAGAAATATATCACAACATGTTTCTCTAACATAGTAGCTTCTTCAACAGTGATTTGAATACTACAATTTGCTTCTTACGCTGATATTTATATACCACAGGTAACTACAATTGGGACTACCTTTATCAAATTACCTAAACCTCTACAACTCTTATATACCTGAGGTACCTCTCCAATTATGATTACCTGAAGCATATTACCTCACTTCTTCATCAGTAATAGTACTTTCTCGATTTTTTAAGAAAACAAGTTCAATAATGGTGATCTATTCAAATCCAGTTGGTCATTCATTAGAATATTTGAATTTTTAAGTCCAATTCAATTTCCACAGCTTTCAAACTTTAATTTTCTATGCATAAAATTTCGAACTCTTCCTTAAAGATATGATTTTCTTTTAAAAGATGATTTGAATATGTTGAACTTGTTCTCGTATTAACATAGCTGGTGGTCTTGGATTCGATTCCTAAATGTTCTGCTAGTTTGACCAATATATACCTCAGGATACGTTCCATACTTTAATTTATATACTCCTGCTTTCTCAAATTTGGATGTTTTGTCTTTATTACGTTAATACATTGAAGCTCTATAATTTTGATTTTATCTAACCTATCAACAGGAAAAACAGCTCAAATCGCAAAAGCGATTCGAAACGTAAGAAGCAACTTGTAGTATTCAAATCAATGTTGAAGAAGCTTCTTTGTTAGCGAAACATGTCGTGACATATTTTTTCAAATAAAGTTTGTGGGGATCAAATCGTGAGGTGTAGTTTATGAGAAAATAGATTCTGATTTGGTCAAAGGACCAGATTTCCTGAAGTAAGTATTCCAAAGAAGAATCACAATTTTACGCGAAATTTCAATAATAATGAACCCGTATCAAGGTGAATTTATGCATCAGTCTACAGTCAAAAGTCGAAGTTAATAAATTGTAAGACGTTAGATCAGGGATTTTTCATTATAAATAACACGTATCGTAAATGTATTTTCAGTCGCAACTGGTTAACATGAATTCTTAAGACTTACTACCACTTTGTATTGATTCATAAGAATATTAGTAAAAATAACACTGAAAGTTACCTATGGTTTCTGAAGGCTTGAAGTACATCTGCGTATCCTTCTCGAGAACACCTTTTGTCCATGAATGTTTGGCAAATAAGGGAGGATAAGTAATAGTTCTTTTGAACAACGTTGTGGTGTCGATGTCTCCTTCAAGTTTAACATCTGGAAGTATGGGATTCTTCGCAAAAATTCTCTTTCCATATTTCTCATCTTCCACTTCCAAACGACTCATTACAAAATTAAAACATATACGAACTCTGTATCGGTTGTATCGATAAGGGTAACAGCTGTCAACTGAGATTATTATTTGATTGCCTTGGAAACGCCGAGAATTCCGTACAGTCTGAAAATAATGTCAGCTCCTTTTTATTCCTCATTTAACATACTCGCTGCCCTCCCATATTACTTTTATATTCACTTATATTTATCTTTGATCTCATTCGAATTATAGAGCGTATGTTTTCTGAAATTTTTTCACTACAGACAGTACAAGAACTGGAGTTGTGCAGTTTGGCGGAAGACTTGCAGCAAAACGGTCAAGCTTTAACAGAAAAGGAAGTGGGAACTCTAAATGAGGCTGAGTTTGGTCCTCTGGCTGAGCCCCCACAGTCCCCAAAAGAACCAACATATAATTCAGTTTTGAGCAGTTTTGCTTCGAATTCCTTATCCTACCAGTAATGAAGGGGTGAATTATCGTATCCGTGTTTACTCAGAAGAAGATAGTAGTGGCAAACGTAGTTGCAACTATAGATCGGTGATACATTCTTTAGTCAAAACTCTTGGGTTCAATGGTTTAAAAAATCTTAGGAACATCTGTTCCATGAACAGGATAATCCAATGTTTATCAAACACGGGGTTGTTTCTGGAATACCTAAAAAAGGATACATACATGGAAGATATCAATACTAGTATTTCTAGTATGAAAGGTGTTTTAATCAAAGCGTTATCAATCAAGAAGTTATCAAGGAATTGTGGTCAGAAGGTTCATCTGATAGAGTATTTAACACAGTCTACTTCAGAAATCAGATTCAAAGATTTGCCCCTCGATTCATGGGTTCTGCCCATCAAGACGCCCACAAATTCCTGCGATATCTTTTAGAAGGTTTACATGAGGACCTCAACAGAATTACTGAGAAATCTGAACCGATCTTAACTGGCATTGACGAAAAATTGAGCGATAACGGAAAAGCACAAGAGTCCTGGCAGAGATATTTGAATATGAACAACTCCAAGATTGTAGACTATTTCGTTGGTCAGTTAAAATCCGCTATGAAGTGCACACACTGTGGACACTCATCAGTAACCTTTGNTTGTTTAAAAAATTGTTATAAACAAATGCATTGTTAATGATATTATTTGAATTTTTTTCTTAGCGACGGCACCACATTGAAACGTCGAACGTTGTGCCGTTCGACTGCAAACCGCACAACTTCACGTGCATAAATGAGGCCTTACGGTCGCCTATATCGTCCTACAGAGAGGACTATTCGCTATGTAGTGGTCAAATTTGAGTCCACAAGGTTAAGTAAATGATTGACCAATACCCATACATCGAAACGCAATATCTGCCGAAAACATCGCCGGTGTCTGTGAGGGTGTGCCGGAGAATCTGAGGCAGTCGATACCGCGTCGCTCACAGGATCTAGGCCTTGTACAAAATTCAACTAATCCAGGAATGTGTTCGCTGAATGGGCTCTGGAACAGTTGTTAAGTGACTCTGATTTTCATCGAAAAATCATTTTAGCGAAAAGGTCCATTTCTGGATGAATGGGTACGTGAACAAACAAAATTATCGAATTTGAGACGATACCAATCCGCATGAGATCTGAAAGAGTCCAATGCATCCTGAAAAAGTCACCGTTTGGAGTGGATTTTGGGATGGCGGCCTCATCGGTCTGTTTCTTTCAGAACGACGAACGACGTTGACCAGCAGGGCTGCCAGAACTAGTCTTTTCGTACTAGATCTAGTAATTTCGGCCAATGTTCAGTACGTTAGTGTTACATTTGATATATCTAGTACATTTTAGCAAATAATTTATATTTAGTACAATTTTTAGTACAAATGAGAAGCTCTTGTCAAAATCGTCAATTGTCACTGTCAGTTGCCATATTTGAATTGTAAACAAATGTAAACCACGGTAAAAAGTTTTTGACATTTTGGTAATACAAATTATAATAATGGACAAGTAAGTTGGTTCAATAAGTTTTATTTTTAACGGTTTGTTATACGAGAAAAAATCGGGTTGCTTTAGAACTAGAACCGGTCAATGAAAATGAAAGTATTGTTTTAGAAATTGACACTGATATTGGCCAAGCAGAATTAGAGATTAGCGACACTTACTTATTTTATCCATAACAACGATAATATGGAACAGTTACTTTCTATACAAGAGGTATAGTATAGATCCATTTGTTTTGTTGATATATGAATAAGTTTTTTTTGTTCATTTTTATCTATTTACGAATTTTTTTAGTTGCTGTTCAAGTGATATAGGCATCATTTAAAAAGGCTCTTGCAAGTGGGTGGTGGTGACATAATGCATTATAAGGTTCCCGAATTACATAGGCGCCTGCAATTTCGAAACTCAATTTTCCAAATCCAAAGTTTCCGCATAAAGAAGTCTGTTATCACAAGCCTTTATTATCCTTATAGTATATTTATCAGTCTGGGACATTCGATTCGGTAGGACCCCTAGCAACTATTTAAAAATTTTCGAAAGTGGCTCGAAAAAATTACAAAATGTATAAACAATTCAATAAAGAAGGGGGGTTTGTTTTTTTGCAAAAATTTCGGAAAATATATAAGACATCCGAAATTTGAAAAAAAGATTCTTAAAGAGGAGGAAACTAATTTTTACAAGTTTCAAATATACATAAAAACCCTGCTATTATTTAGCC